TAATCAAGGATTCTCACTATGCAAGCAGTCTACCTCACAGACAATGAGAGACTGGCAAGGGAAAGAATAGCTCATAAGGCCTTTCACTGGTTCTCAATAGATTTCCAGGGTCAATTCTTGGTTTTGATCTATAAAACCTCTATAGTTGCAGGTCTCCAATCACAATCAGCCAGTTTACATGGAGAAGGTGCTTGTGATACTCAACTTCCAGGAAATGAGGGGGGAGGACTGAGATATAAAATCACTGATTCTCAGTAGTAGCACTAGACTTCTGGAATAGCATTTTTCTTTAGGAAAATGTTCCAAACTGATCTCTTTCACAGAACATTGTGGATTAATTGCATGCCCTGTACTAAGATTTATTGTTAAGGTACTATTATTAGGATCTGATTGCTATTTAACTTTGAAAGTGATTAATTTTTGCATGCTGTTTAATTCTTACCATAAGTGTTGATCTGCAAAACATGGTCAAACAAACAAATATCTCCTGAAACTTAATGCAATTATTGACTGACAGGAATAAAGATAGAAGCCTGTGGGTCAGCAGAATCTGATGGCCGTAGTACCCAAATCTACTTCCCCAGCATCACATGGGGACATCAGCAATCAAGAAAAATGAGAACCATAAGTTTCTCCAAGCCTCAGTTGCCAAAGAGAGAAGAATATCATAATCAAATGTATGGAAAGCTACCAAAAATGTGAAGGGCACCACAAATATTATTTGTGTCAGCTCTGCTTCGTAGCCATTTACCAACTGGATGAAGCAAATTTCACCCTATAACTCATCTGAAAGCCTGACTTAAATAAGCCCTGATAATTGTATCATACAAATACAGTTAAACTTTCAATCTCTTTGTGATTATGGAATTCTCAAACACAGGAGACAAGAGATTCAACATACTGTAACAACCTCCTAAGAAAATACTTAGGATTCATCTTCTTTGGGTGAAGTAGAAATGAGATAATTTTCAGCTCTAGTTCTAATCAAGTTGTAATTATAAGATGTTTTTGTTAAAGAAACCTGCCCTCCACCACCTCAGCTTCCCAATGCCATTAATATAGCCGAGATGAGAATCTACAGGAGCGAAGAAGAAATCAGCTTCCAGTGTCAAGAACATTTCCTTCTTCAAGGCCCACAAAAAATAAAGTGTGATGATGGAAAATGGCAAACACCTCCACGCTGTCTTGGTTTGTATGCTCAGTTTTGCCTTTATTTTTTTTAAAAAATGTGAACATTACAGATAAAGTGTAAGGATCAAAAAGGTAGGGAGAACATTCAGAGCATGGCTTATGGAATTCTTCACAGCCATTTATCCACAGTGGCCTCTCTGTATATGCATGTGCTCTGTTCCAAGAGCAGGTTCTTTGCAGATTGTACATGTTGCCTCTGTGTTTCTCTGGATTACATAATCA